ACTGTGCACGGGAGGGAGAAGGGCGTGAAGTCCAGCGGCGCCATTATTCTTGAGGGCAAAGGGTTTCTAGCGCCCGTGCGGGGAGGGGGTGGGGTGAGCGAGCTTCTTGCGCGCTTCCACTGTGGCAGAAGGCATCCTCCGATGCTCTAATCCGGGTCCATGTAGGACCTGTAAGAATAACACCTTAGGGGGTTGCGCTGGTCCCACGAGAGGCTGGTCCTGGTGCCCTTCGGGCTTCCTCGGCGGCGCCCTGGGCCCGAGGAACGACCAGGTTTGGTCCCGCGGCGTCCAGAACCCCGGGCCCGCCGGCGAACGGGGGAACAGCGCTGGACCCATGGCGCCGCCCGGGGCCCCGCGCCTCGCCGGCGAGCAGGGGGAGGCCCACCCAGAGCGAGGGAAGCCGGGCGCCTTGAGCTTCGCAGACGTGGCCGTGTACTTCTCTTCGGAGGAGTGGGGCTGTCTGCGGCCAGCCCAGAGGGCCCTGTACCGGGACGTGATGCGGGAGACCTACGGCCACCTGGGCGCGCTCGGTGAGGCCCGGCCCGCCCCCTTCTCTCCCTTTTTGTGACACGGAGGTTTTTAGACTTCTGGTGTGGACGCGTCCAAGTGTCTGTTATTAAGGAGGGTCTTCTCCGCTAGGGTCCGGAGGCTGTGTCCCCCGCCTTGGCTGGGCTCCATCCTCTCACCCTGTCCGCTGTTGGCCTCTTCTCCCCTAGGATTCGCAGGCCCCAAGCCCGCCCTCATCTCCTGGATGGAGAGAAAGAAGGAGGCGTGGAGCCCGGAGGCCGAGGATCCCGAGGACAGGGCGAGGCACCCAGGATATGGGATAGGTGAGGAAAGTGGGGCTGAGCTGGAAGTCACCCTCTCTTGGGAGCGGGTCCCGGGCAGGAACTTTCCCCTGGCAGTCTCCTTGCAACACACAGCCCAGTTAGTGAGGATCTTCTGAACCTTCACTTCCAAATTTCCCTTTATCAGACCTGGTGCCTTCCTTACATCAAGGATAGCTGGGTAGGGGGGAAGAGAAGGGGGGGGGGGGTAGAATTTATTGAGCCTTCCTTCTCTATGTGCCCAGAGCATTTGCATGCCTCAGAAAGGGGCCAGAAGTTCACTTAGTGAAATTGTTAGTTTTGGCCCAGGTGGTGACTGCTGTGTGTGTGTGTGTGTGTGTGTGTGTGTGTGTGTGTGTGTGTACGTGTATTTATTATTTATTTTAAGATACAGAGCACAAGCAGGGGAGGGGCAGAGAGAGAGGAATAGTGAGAATTCCAAGCAGGCTCTGCATTGCCAGCACAGAGCCTGCTGTGGGGCTCAAACTCACGAACCTCGACATCATGACCTGAGTGGAAATCAAGAGTTGGAGGCTTAACCGACTGAGCCACCCGGAGCCCCTGTGACTGCTGTTTTTGTATACACTGACCTGTGGTCCATTCCAGTGCCTTGAGAAATCTCTATCCCTACTGAAATGCCTACTTTTAGGGGCTTTAATGTGGCAGGTGATTGCTTATTTTTGACAGGCAGTACTATCCGTCACCTTCTGACAAAACTGTAATTTTCCAAGCCCTAAATGAGGGGGGTGGGGTGGGGAAGGCCATGGAGTGGGGAGCTGCTGCCTTAGATGAACCCGGGGGCTCTGAAACAGGGAATACACCAGAGAAACAGACTGCTGCTCCCTTCACCTACATCTCCCCATGGTGAGAGAAAACACAGGCGGGGGCATGCAGGCACTCAACTCTTTGGTTTCAATTCTCTCGTCTCTTTAGAAAGCAAGAAAAAGAAGAATGAACCAAGCAGTAGAATCAGGGCCAAGGAGCTGGAGGACCCCCCTGTGAAGAACGGGCCACTGATGAAGGCCAGGCTGGTTCCTGGTTTTAGAGACTGCAGCTATTCATTGCCTCAGGTCTCCTCTGACACGGGACACCAGTGCACCGAGACTCCCAAGAGGCCCTACCCCTGCCTGGAATGTAGCCGTTCTTTCAGCTACCCCTCCCTCCTAGCCAGCCACCAGCGGGTCCACTCTGGGGAGCGGCCCTTTCCCTGTGACCAGTGTGGACGCTGCTTCCGCCAAAGAGGCAATCTGGCTGTTCATATGCGCATACATACAGGGGAGAAGCCCTTCTCCTGCCCAGACTGTGGGAGGCTCTTTGCCTACCCCTCGATGCTGGTCAGACATCGGCGAATCCACTCTGGAGACCGTCCATATGTCTGTGGGCCTTGTGGGGTTCAGTTCTCCCAGAGGGCTCACCTGGTCCAGCACCAGCTGCTTCATACAGGGGACAAGCCTTATTCATGTCCGGATTGTGGCCGCTCCTTCCGCCAGACGGGGGCCCTGGCCATCCACAGACATAGACATGGTGGGGAGAAGCCATATGTGTGTACTGAGTGTGGGCGCCACTTTACACATCCTTCGCTCTTGGCTATCCACCAGCGCACCCACACGAGGAAGAAGCCCCATATCTGTTCTGACTGTGGTCGGGGCTTTGCCTACCCCTCCCTCCTGACCAATCACCAGCGGGTCCACTCTGGTGAGCGCCCCTACCCTTGTGCACATTGCGGTGCCCGTTTTGCCCAGCAAAATAACCTGCTTCAGCATCAGCTCATTCACACAGGCGAAAAGCCCTATGAGTGCCCTGATTGTGGCCGCTGCTTCCGGCAGAGTGGCTCTCTGGCTATCCATAGGCGCACACATACAGGGGAGAAGCCCTACTCCTGCCCTGAGTGTGGGCACCAATTTACCTCTTCGTGTGTCCTCAACAGTCACAGGCGTGTCCATTCTGTTGAGAGGCCCTTCCCCTGTTCCCAGTGTGGGAAAACCTTTAAACGAAAGAGTGCCCTGGAAGCCCATCAATGGATCCATCGCACACGCAGGACAAGTCAGAGGGGCGCCGGATCTCTGTTACAACCTCCAGCCCGAGCTTCTGTCCCTGAGGGTCAGGAACCGTCAGTACACTTCCGGCATTTTCCTGATATGTTTCAGTAGTGCGAGTGTCTGAGTTCAGCAGCGTGAACAAGCGAGTGTTTTAAGATTCTCCCTGATCAAGTGTTGGGAAGGAGGTGCACAGAGGGCATAGGAGGGGTAGGAGAGGGGAGGAAAAGGGAATCAATCAAAAAGGAGATAGTGGGGGCTGAGCCACATCTAGAGTCTGTGAGTGACCTGGAGCTGAGAGGGAGGACATCCAGAGGGAGGCACCATCCAGGAAAAGCATGAGTCTCCTCCAATCCACTCCCAGCACCAACTGCTGACCTCTGAGCTTTCAGCTCCCAGTTTTCCCTAACTCTAGAACTCAGGAGTTCAAATCTTAATTTGGACCAGAAGCCAAAATGGAAGAGGAGGGTCATAGGCTTTGAGCCAGTTTATCCCATGTTCAACCTTGGTGCATCTTGCGTCATCAACATCTTTCTATAAAATAAGTACATGAATCCGGCCCCCAAGGTGGTTGTGAGGATTAAATAACATATATTCAGTTAAAACTGTCTAGTACAATACTTTTTGCTGTATATATCCTCCCAAGCTTTGCAGGTAGAGTTGTTTGAATATTGTCTAATCATCCCTGCTGAAAACAACTCTTTCAATGTGATTTTCGTGGCTTAAAAAAATTTTTTTTAAATGTTTATTTTATTTTTTGAGAGAGATACAGGGCTCCAGTTGGGGAGGAGTAGAGAGAGAGGGAGATACAAAATCTGAGGCAGGCTCCCTGCTCTGAGCTGTCAGCACAGAGCCCTACCACGGGCTTGAATTCACCAGCTGGGAGATCATGACCTGAGCCTAACTAAGTCAGATGGTTAACCGACTGAGCCATCCAGGCACCCCTCGTAGCTCTTTTCTATATTTCAGCAAGTTATAAACTATTAATGCCTTTGTTTTTCCCCCAAGTGATTCAATGCTTATTTTCTCTGTGCTCAACTCAGAAGTGAGAGACTGTCTCATAATTCCCTGGAGTATGTGAGAACTACCACACTGGCTTAGGCATCCATGCCTTTGCTTACATATTATGTGTCCCTCTCACGGGGTTGTAAGTACCGCTGAGAGCAATCACCCTTAGAGCCACCTCTTTCCAGTCCCCAGCATTATGTTTGGAGATGCGACGTTTAATCACATCAGACAGGAAGAGCTGCGGGGGCTCAAGGACTACA